AAGGAAGTATAATCGTACATTTTCATTTCATGATTATAATTCATGATGTCGTAACTTTTCAGTTCGTTTTCTGATGGACAAAATACACACAACACAAGGTTTGTGTGTTAAATTTGTGTGAATTAAACAAAACAAAACACAACTCCAGGTCTGTTTGTGATGAGGAAACATTATAACATAGATCAGAAAATAACATGATATGGGCCCTGTACACTTTATTTTATCAGTATTAAGTTTGTTATAATTTGTTGCGGCTAATTTGAATATATTTGTAGTTTTGGGAGATTATTTCCACCGCATTCGTGTCCTGATTTGCGCTGTACAAATTGCATGATTAAACCCACACAGGAGCTCAGGCGCAGTGGATAAAAACAGACGTGGATCTGTCTTCGTACACCTCTGCTCTGCTCTGCTCTCTGTGATTATGTGTGACCGGAGTCTGGGTTGAATCTGCTGAAAAGTCAGAAGTCTGTGTTTAAAAGACCCACAGACTCGCAGGCTAATGATTGGTCTGTGCTCGGTGTGGGCGGAGTCACGTGAACGGCGAGAGCGTTTTTTTTTTTTTTTTAAAGGGCCCATGTTATATTGTTTTTTGATCTGTGTTTTGGCATCATAGACTTTTAGTATTTAGTATTTTTAGTATTTTTTTCAGTCCACTCTAGCGTTTAAGTTATCATAAGGCTGTTATTTACTTATTTACTTATTTATTTATTTATTTACTAATTTATTTACTTATTTACTAATTTATTTATTTATTAACAAATTTATTTATTTATTTAACTTATTTATTTATTTACTAATTTATTTATTGACTTATTTACTAATTTATTTACTTATTTACTAATTTATTTATTTATTAACTTATTTATTTATTTATTAACTTATTTATTTATTTATTTACTAATTTATTTACTTATTTATTTATTTATTTATTAACTTATTTATGTATTTATTTACTAATTTATTTACTTATTTACAAATTTATTTATTTATTAACTTATTTATTTATTTACTAATTTATTTATTGACTTATTTACTAATTTATTTATTTATTAACTTATTTATTTATTTAATGAGACAGGGACAGCGCACAATTTTTACATTAACCTAAACACTAAACGCACTGACAGTATTTTGAATGTTAAAAAACTATAAAACCAAACCATAAGGTGAGTGGAAATAGTTAACATTTCATATTAAATTCTGATCAATTCTTCATACGTAGGTGCCGTAAAGCATTGTCTCCCAAAGACTGGGTTGTGATCCTCAGGTGGGTCGCAAGAGATTATTTTTTTTGGGTCACCTTATCATGATCTGCATGTAGGTCTGCAAAATACAGGTCTACAGACTATTTTGTTCCAGTATTGCTGGTTCAGTTGAATGTTGAAAAGAAAAAGAAATGGGCCACATTTAATGTCCAAATAGTCGACTTATGGATCCTTTTATTGCTGCTTTAATGACTGTTTGTCATGGTTTAAAACTTGAGTCATATTAATTGTTCAGAGAGACGATCACTTAGTCAACAATAAAATATCCTCATTAATGTTCAATAATGCTCAAATCCAACTTTATTTTGTGATTTACGAATCATGTCTATTGACTTGGGTAGTGAAGGTTTTTGACTTTTAAAATATGGGAAACATGAGAAAAAAACGTCTAAGAAACGCTGTCATAAAGTCATAGACAATTTACTTTAGGTCATAAAAAATAATGACATCCCGTCCACAAAACAGCACTTGTAGTGACAGTTTTAGTCCTAACCTTTTGTCGTTTCTGGGTGCAGGGGATCCGGGCCTAACGTGCTACCAGATTGGCACATTAGATTGTAGAGCAGAAAGGAGTAGAATGGATGAATAGATGTTCAGTAATGTTACAGAGTTGAGTAGTGAAAGTTAGACCACCGGCCAGAAGGAGAGCGGTAAAAACCATGTGACCTCCTGTCACCCATACACCCAGTGCACTGGCACCTGTGCATTTATATAGGGCTTGACTCCACCCTGCCCCCTTGTGGCCAAGCTGAATATAGGTCGCCCTGTGCCCAGACAAAGAGAGACCCAAATTAACCCCAACCTAAACGAAAGAAAATGGCTCCTACAGCACTGTTAATCCAGTTTGAAGCTTTCTTTAAAATTAAAAAGTTAAAAGGTGGGAGTAGTTCCTCATGTGTGTCTGTTTACATCCACACAGCGCACGGATCGAGGTGAAGCTGCAGATTAGTGACAGTGAATCTACTTCCTGTGAACTTTACCGCCAACTTACCGCCAGCAGTTCTGAGCTCGGATTTAAAGCAACAGTCTGTAACATTTCCCTTCGTGATTCCGTAAGAGAAGGCGAGAGAAAAGCACAGCGATCTTTCCCTCCACAGACGCACAAAGCGCCTCCATCTGCAGCTTTTCCACAAACAAACACGTCTGTACTGATGCTAAAAACAGGCTCAAGTCCGTCACAGTCGCCGTATTTGTTTTGGTTTGTTTTGGCCCCGCCCCCAACCACAATCCTGCCCTGTGATTGGTCCGTCGAGTTTGTGAAAATACCGTGACAGTTCGTCTTGTTGACCAGGTTAAGTCTTTACCGTCTTTAATGGATGAAAATCAATTGTCCCAGTCTGTTAATTAACTCTCTCTTCCCTCCCCCCTTCACCTCTCTCTCTCTCCTGTCTCTCTCTCTTTCTCTCCTTTCTCACCTCCCTCTCCTTTGCTCTCCCCCCTCTGTTCTCTCGCTCCCTTTCTCTCCTCTGCCCCGCCCTCTCTCTCTTTCTCTCTGTCTCCATCCCCCCTTCTTTCCTCCTTTCTCTTACCCCCTAACACCTCTCTCTCCTCTTCCATCTTTCTCTCTCCTATCACTCCCTGTGTCGCCTTTCTTCTCTCTCTACCCCTTCCTCTCTCCCTGTCTCTTACCCTCTCTCTCGCTCCTGTCTCCTTTTTCTCTTCTCTTTCTCTCCCCTCTCTTTGCCACCCTCCCTTTCTTTCCTCTCTCACCCCCCTCTTCCTTGCTTTCCCCTCTCTGTTCCCTCTCTCTTTTTCCGTTTTTTCCCCCCCTCTCTCATCCCCTATGCCTTCTCTCTTCTCCCCTCTCTCCGTTTCTCTCTCCTTCTCATTCCTCTCCCCCTCTCTCTTACCCCCTGTTCCTTCTCTCTCCTCTTCCATCTCTCTCCCCTTTCTTTTTCTCTCTTCTTTACCCACTATGCCTTATTCTTCCCTCTCTCATCTTCCCTCTCTCCCTTTCTCTCCTCTCTCTCTCTCTCTCTCTCCCCTCTCTATTTCTCTCCTCTCCCCCTCTCCCTTCTCTGTTCTCTCTTTCCCTTTCTCCCATCTCTCTCTTACCCCATCCCTCTTTCTCTCTCTCCTCTCCCCCTTTTTTAATATCTCCTCTCTTTCTCCTTTTTCTTTCTTTTCTCGTCTCTCTCTTCTCTCCTCCCCCTCTCTCTCCCCTCTCTTCCCCCACTCTTTTCTCTCCCCCTTTCCCCTCAACGCCCCTTTCTTCCCTCCCTCCCTCCCTCTTTCTCTCTCTCTCTCTCTCCCTCTCTATTTCTCTCCTCTCCCCCTCTCCCTTCTCTGTTTCTCTTTTCCCTTTCTCCCCTCTCTCTCTTACCCCATCCCCTCTTTCTCTCTGCCCCCTCCCTCCCCTTTTTTTAATCTCTCTCTCCTGTCACCCTCTCTCCTTTCTCCTTTTCTCTTTCTTTTCTCGTCTCTCTCTTCTCCCTCCCCCGTCTCTCTCCCCTCTCTTTCCCCACTCTTTTCTCTCCCCCTTTCCCCTCAACGCCCCTTTCTTCCCTCCCTCCCTCTTTCTCTCTCTCTCTCTCCCCTCTCTATTTCTCTCCTCTCCCCCTCTCCCTTCTCTGTTCTCTCTTTCCCTTTCTCCCCTCTCTCTCTTACCCCATCCCCTCTTTCTCTCTGCCCCCTCTCTCTCTCCTCTCTCCCCTTTTTTTAATCTCTCTCTCCTGTCACCCTCTCTCCTTTCTCCTTTTCTCTTTCTTTTCTCGTCTCTCTCTTCTCCCTCCCCCGTCTCTCTCCCCTCTCTCTTTCCCCACTCTTTTCTCTCCCCCTTTCCCCTCAACGCCCCTTTCTTCCCTCCCTCCCTCCCTCTTCTCTCTCTCTCTCTCTCTCTCCCCTCTCTATTTCTCTCCTCTCCCCCTCTCCCTTCTCTGTTCTCTCTTTCCCTTTCTCCCATCTCTCTCTTACCCCATCCCCTCTCTCTTCTCTCACCCTCCCTCTCCCCTCTTTCTCTCTGCCCCCTCCCTCCCCTTTTTTTTAATCTCTCTCTCCTTTCTCCTTTTCTCTTTCTTTTCTCTCGTCTCTCTCTTCTCCCTCCCCGTCTCTCTCCCCTCTCTTTCCCCACTCTTTTCTCTCCCCCTTTCCCCTCAACACCCCTTTCTTCCCTCCCTCTTTCTTTCTCTCTCTCCCCTCTCTCTATTTCTCTCCTCTCCCCCTCTCCCTTCTCTGTTCTCTCTTTCCCTTTCTCCCCTCTCTCTCTCTTACCCCATCCCCTCTCTCTTCTCTCACCCTCCCTCTCCCCTCTTTTCTCTGCCCTCTCTCTCTCTCCTCTCCCCCCTTTTTAAATCTCTCTCTCCTGTCACCTCTCTCCTTTCTCCTTTTCTCTTTCTTTTCTCGTCTCTCTCTTCTCCCTCCCCCGTCTCTCTCCCCTCTCTTTCCCCACTCTTTTCTCTCCCCCTTTCCCCTCAACACCCCTTTCTTCCCTCCCTCCCTCCTTCTCTTTCTCTCTCTCTCCTCTCTATTTCTCTCCTCTCCCCCTCTCCCTTCTCTATTCTCTCTTTCCCTTTCTCCCCTCTCTCTCTTACCCCATCCCCTCTCTCTTCTCTCACCCTCCCTCTCCCCTCTCTCCCCTTTTTTTAATCTCTCTCTCCTGTCACCCTCTCTCCTTTTCTACCTTTTCTCTTTCTTTTCTCGTCTCTCTCTTCTCCCTCCTCTGTCTCTCTCCCCTCTCTTTCCCCACTCTTTTCTCTCCCCCTCTCCCTCTCTCTCTCTCTCTCTCCGTTGCAGTCCATCAGCCTGATCGAGCGTGGAAACCCGTCCCGTTCTCTGGAGCAGGTGTGCCGTTGGGCAAACACTCAGCAGAGACGTGACCCGGAGCACGCCGAGTACCACGACCACGCCATCTTCCTCACCAGGCAAGACTTTGGTCCAGCAGGTATGCAAGGTACTGTACCGCGCTCGATCTGGGACTGTGCAGACTGACCACTGTTCACTCACACTGAGGTTGGCCCAGGTAAGCGCCACAAAAAGGGTGTAAAAACGTCAAAATGAGGGTTGAAAAAATGTCAAAATATGGGTGTAAAAATGGTAAGGTCAAAAAAAGGGAAAACACAAAACTTAAAGAGGGGGTATTATGCGAAACTGACTTTTTTTTTTTTTGGAGATTTCTACCGTGTTATAACGTTAAAACTTCTCATCAAAAACTTCCACGCGTCTACGCAGCAAAAACTGGAGGGTTAAAATTTCAGAGTAAAATATTTTAGAGTTGTTTTAAACACAAAAAAGTGTTAAACAGTGACAAAACAATAACAAAAAGTGTTATTTTAACTATTAGAAAGTTAAATGGGGATTCGGATTGGGCTTATTTGCAAGAGTTGATATGTTTGAAGTTAATTCAACTTAAACTAGTGTTAATTCAACTTCCCTTAGTGTTAATTATTCGTGTTAATTCAACTTCCTCTAGTGTTAATTCAACTTCCCTTAGTGTTAATTCACCTTCTCTTAGTGTTAATTCAACTTCCTCTAGTGTTAATTCAACTTCCTCTAGTGTTAATTCAACTTCTCTTAGTGTTAATTCAACTTCCTCTAGTGTTAATTCAACTTCCTCTTAGTGTTAATTCAACTTCCCTTAGTGTTAATTCAACTTCCTCTAGTGTTAATTCAACTTAAACTAGTGTTAATTCAACTTCCTCTAGTGTTAATTCAACTTCCTCTAGTGTTAATTCAACTTCCTTAGTGTTAATTCAACTTCCTCTAGTGTTAATTCAACTTCCTCTAGTGTTAATTCAACTTCCTCTTAGTGTTAATTCAACTTCTCTTAGTGTTAATTCAACTTCCTCTAGTGTTAATTCAACTTTCCTTAGTGTTAATTCAACTTCCTCTAGTGTTAATTCAACTTAAACTAGTGTTAATTCAACTTCCTCTAGTGTTAATTCAACTTCTCTTAGTGTTAATTCAACTTCCTCTAGTGTTAATTCAACTTAAACTAGTGTTAATTCAACTTCCTCTAGTGTTAATTCAACTTCTCTTAGTGTTAATTCACCTTCTCTTAGTGTTAATTCAACTTCCTCTAGTGTTAATTCAACTTCCTCTAGTGTTAATTCAACTTCTCTTAGTGTTAATTCAACTTCCTCTAGTGTTAATTCAACTTCCCTTAGTGTTAATTCAACTTCTCTAGTGTTAATTCAACTTCCTCTAGTGTTAATTCAACTTCCTTAGTGTTAATTCAACTTTCTTAGTGTTAATTCAACTTCCTCTAGTGTTAATTCAACTTCTCTTAGTGTTAATTCAACTTCCCTTAGTGTTAATTCAACTTAACTAGTGTTAATTCAACTTTCCTTAGTGTTAATTCAACTTCCTCTAGTGTTAATTCAACTTCCTCTAGTGTTAATTCAACTTCCACTTGTGTTAATTTGGCACCTTCCACTTATCACTTCAAACTCCTGCGAGAGAAAACCAGTTTGAACCAGTTTTGTTCATAATTTCATCTTAAATTAACTAAAATAGTGTAAAAATAAAACATCTCTGTGTGTTGTTTATTGTTTCGCTGAATCAGAATAACCCTAAAAGTATTATCCGTTTACTCTCAAAATGTTAATATAACTCTTGATTTCGGGGTTAAACAGGAACCTTTGGTCCAGTGTAACTTAATTAACAACTTAATTAACTCTAGAACAGATTGGACTCAAATAAACCCTGAGAAAATGTTAAAATTGATTCTGTGAGAGTCAATTTTAACACTCCAATTTTTGCTGTGCAGTGATCTCTCCTGGGCCCTACTCGAAACGTCCTTAAAGGTGCACTGTGTAACTTTCAAATGGAGTGTTGCTTTCACAGACATTGCATAGTTTTGCTTTGGAATGTTCCACAGTAGGGCATTAAACTTATCCTTTCTGCTTTTATTCAATTACAGGTGATTTTATTTCTCTCCAAAACACTTAAAAAACTTGAAAAACCTCCTCAGAACTTGGCTTGCTGGCATCACACGTTTGTCTCCGCGGAGATAGAGCTTAATGCCACACCCCGGAACATTCCAAGCAACTAATAACGTTCGAGCAAGTGGCGGAAAGTTACACAATGCACTCGACATAAATCCTCCGTAAATACGCAAAAAACGTGACACAAAACTGTACAAAACAACTTCACAACAACAACAACAGCTGTGACGTGCTGCGGTTTCGTTATTGGGACGCTCCGAAGGGGGAGCGACTTAGCGTGGAGAGCAAAGTCACGGGAGGCGTCGAAACCGTTTTCAAAACAACAAAAGGCAACACGGTGACCTAAATTTGTTACGTTAATCGCAGCGAACATCCAGTAAAAGCGTAATACTCCCTCTTTAAGTGTTTTTCGGGTTTAGATTCGGTTTTTAAGGCCAACCTGACACGAGTTCTCTGGAGTTTTTGGCATGTAGTGAAAAAACAGACGTGGTTTTGTGATGATCAGAGGTGGGTAGAATAGCTGGTGTATAAAGCTAAAGCCGTTATGTTCCTTTTTAAACTATTGCATTTTTTTGTTGGGCTATTGAGCAAGACACTTCCCTCACACTACCCACTTGAAACTGTTACCAACTTGAAATTGCCAAAGCTCCAATAATGCAAACGAAAATGCCTTTTGGATTTATGTTATTATTGTTTTATTTGATATTTGATTTTTCTGTAAATTTCTGTTTGGGAATAGAACACACAACCTTTAAACTGTGAGGTGAGGAGTCTTAAAGGTGCACTCTGTAGCTTTTCGGGTGGAGGACCTGCTTTACTCCAGGGTCAGATCTGTGGAGAGGCAAGGCTCATGTGCAAGTAACACTTTTTTTCTGACAAATTTAACTTTGATTTAACAATACAGGTGTTTTCATTTATTTTTTTATCAGTTTAGTCATTACTATAGTGTAAAGAAGATAATTGTTATAGAACGCTAGATGTCACATTGACGACATCTGTTTATAGGAACGAATGCGTCAACAAGGCCGCCATCTTGGTACTGGGATGCACTGCTTTAAATGAATGAACATCAGTCGGGGACAAGGCGATTTGAGTGTTTCCCACACACCAAGAAGTAGTGTTGACCTGGTTTAGACCTGGTTTAGACCTGGTTTAGTCCTGGTTTAGACCTGTTGTAGTCCTGGTTCAGTCCTGGTTTAGTCCTGGTTTAGTCCTGGTTTAGTCCTGGTTTTGTAGTCCTGGTTTAGTCCTGTTGTAGTCCTGGTTTAGTCCTGGTTCAGTCCTGGCTTAGACCTGGTTTAAGCCTGTTTTAGTTTTGGTTCAGTCCTGGTTTAGTCCTGGTTTAGTCCTGGTTCAGTCCTGGTTTAGTCCTGGTTTAGTCCTGGTTTAGTTCTGGTTCAGACCTGGTTTAGACCTAGTTTAGTCCTGTTTTAGTCTTGGTTCAGTCCTGTTTTAGTCCTGGTTTAGTCCTGGTTTAGTCCTGGTCTAGTCCTGGTTTAGTTCTGGTTCAGACCTGGTTTAGTCCTAGTTTAGTCCTGTTTTAGTCTTGGTTCAGTCCTGTTTTAGTCCTGGTTTTGTCCTGGTTTAGTCCTGGTTTAGTCCTGGTCTAGTCCTGGTTTAGTCCTGGTTTATTTCTGGTTCAGACCTGGTTTAGTCCTAGTTTAGTCCTGTTTTAGTCTTGGTTCAGTCCTGGTTTAGTCCTGGTTTAGTCCTGGTTTAGTCCTGGTTTAGTCCTGGTTTAGTCCTGGTTTAGTCCTGGTTTAGTCCTGGTTTAGTCCTGGTTTAGTCCTGGTTTAGACCTGGTTTAGTCCTAGTTTAGTCCTGTTTTAGTCTTGGTTCAGTCCTGGCTTAGTCCTGCTTTAGGTTTAGACCTGGTTTAGTCCTAGTTTAGTCCTGTTTTAGTCTTGGTTTAGTCCTGGTTCAGTCCGTATGTGTCGCAAAAGTCCGGATATTGTAAAAAAGCTTTAGTCAAATGACGTTCGTTGACTTAAGACCATGGAAGCCCAGTACCAAGATGGCGGCGGTTTGAACGCAGGCCAAGAGTTTTATATTTATGAATTTAGACGAGCTTTGACCCTTTTTAACATTATGATTATACGATGACTTTTACGGCTCCGTCAGCTCCCACTGGGCACCGCCGTTTTCTAATGTGGAAGTCAGTGGTTTTAATATTAGAGTAGAATATTACGTTTCAAAATGTGCAAATTTTAACGACCCGCGGGTGTGACAGATTATAATTATAGAGAAGAACAAAATGTCTTCTTTCAGTGTAATGATTTTAACTGTGCCTCATCACGTTGGCACTGAACGTCTTGTACTTCTGGGCTCTGCAGGTGGGGCTCAGTTTTTGAGGGTGATGGGTTCCTGCCAGCTTCTTTTGCAGTTAATTTGTGTCTTTTTTTTCTCAACACGTTTCTTGTGACACTGTTGACTGTTCGCAACAAAACGTCTGATGGCAAAAGGAGGAATTCAATTTATCAACTGGACAAAAGTTTATTTAGGTTGAATACGAATCCGTGTGTCGTTCGTTCATTCGTTTTTCAATATTAAACCAAAAATAAGAAAATGAAAAAACAACAGTTTTCTTCGTTATTTATCTCCAAAACCAAAATGAAAAAACGGATAACGGCTGTTTCCCGTTTACGTGACTTCAGTGACTTCAGGACTGAACCAGGACTGATCCAGGTCCGGTACCAGAGCGGGACTGAGACCGGGACCAGACCGGGACCAGAGTGGTTCCGTGTCATCGTCTGCGCGCTCGTTCCGTGTGGGGAAAGTGAGAATGCGCTGTGGACTACAGGTCCGGACGGGCTGCTCCGGTCCTCCGCGCTCAAGAACCTGCGGCTGGTTCCGAGGTGGTGCAGCATCCGACTGACGCTTTCACACCAACGAAAATGAACCGAACTAAGAGCTCTGGTCCCGGACCTGGATCAGTCCTGGTTCAGTCCGTATTCGTGGTGCAAAAGTTCGGCATCACAGTCCCTGAAATCACGTGAACAGGAAACAG